TACATATTCTGGCCCTCTGGCCCTTTCGGTGCCCTCGGGAACCCCAATTAAACGTAGGTTTTTCTTCCTTAGACTGTCATTTATTTGCCTTAATCTGTCTTCATGGTCCCTTAATTGTTTGTTTCTTTTTTCCTCAGTTTCCCTCTTTGCCATTAACTTGTCTTCTATGTCACTCACTCGTTCTTCCACCTCGTTAACCCTCGTCGTTAGGACTTCTATTTTGGATTGCATCTCATTCAATTGATTTTTAATTTCTGCCTGATTGGATCTAAATTCTGCAGTCATGAAGTCTCGTGAGTCCTTAATGCTTTTTTCTAGAGCCATCAGTAGCTGTAGAATAGTGCTTCTGAATTGGCTTTCTGACATTGAAGTGTACTCCAGATTTTGTAACTCTGTGGGAGAGAGGGCTGTTTCTGATTCTTTCTTTTGAGGTGAGGTTTTCCTTCTAGTCATTTTGCTCAGTGCAGAGTGGCCAAAAACAAGTTGTATTGGAACACGGGGGAGTATCACTGGTCCGTCTAGCTGGTCTTCTGGGGGAGGGGCCTGCTGTGCTGATTTTCAGGTGTTAGCACTTGGGGGAGCTGCTCTGCCCCTGCCTGCTGCAGGGCTCAGCGGGGGTTGTTTACCCCGTGGGGCCCCAGGAGGAACAGCAGCAGTTGCTATGGCAACTCTGGAAGCCTGGATTTAGCCTCCGCAGGAACTACGGGGCTCGGGCTCTCGGTTCTCCGGTTCTCCGTCCGCAGGGCTTGGAGGCTCCGGGGCGGGGCCGCTGATCTGCTCAGCTCGGGGCAGGAGCGTCCTTGCTGTCCTGGGCCCTCCCGGCCTCTGCCTGTCCCGGGGGAGGCTGGATCCTGGGCTGTGTCCCGGCGCCCTGTGCTTCGGGGCCTGCGCTGTTGGATTCGCGCTCCCGCCCCGCAGCCCCCTCCGCGGAGCCGCCGCCCGAGCCCCTCCGAGCTGCTCCGGTCGGTCCCGCCGTGCGCGCTGCAGCCCTTAGGGAGCTCGGAGCACTCTCCTGCGCGCGCAGGTGCCTGTTAGTGTCCCCGGGAGCCCGAGGGCATCCCCGCCCTCCTGGGTCCTGCTCTAACTCCCTGCGGGCCCCTTTCCGCCCGGGAAGGTTGGTGCAGCTCCTGCTCCTCCGGGACGGGGATCTCCTGTCCTGGGGACACTCGCCCCGGCCTCAGCCCGGCTCCTCGCGGGGCCCCTCCCCCTCGGAGGCCTTTTGTTCCTTTATTTCTTTTCCCCCGTCTTCCTACCTTGATAGAAGCGCGGACTCTTCTCACTGTAGCGTTCCAGCTGGTCTCTCTTTACATCTTAGGCCGAATTCGTAAATTTTCAGGATGGTTTGAAGGTTATCTAGGTAATTTGGTGGGGACAGGTGATTTGGGGACCCTGCTCTTCCGCCATCTTGCCCCTCCCCCTATTTTGGAATTTTTGAAATATCTTTATGTTATTGATTTCTAGTTAAGTCCATAAGCATACTTCTATAGTTCCTTTCCTGTGAATTGTATTGAGGTTTATTTTATGACCCAAATATATAATCACTCTTGGTGAATGTCCCTCAAGCGCTTGAAAAAAAATGTGTGTTCTGCTGTACTTTGGTGCAGTGCTCTAGAAATGTCAATTAGTTCAAACTGGTTTAGAGTGTTGTTCAAATCTTTTATATCTTTACTGAGGTTTTTGTTTACTTAGTCTATCAATTACTAAGAAAGGAATGGTGAAATCTCCAAATACAATTGTGGCCTTGTCTATCTTTCTAGTTTTATCAGTTCTATCAGTTTTTGCTTCATAAAATTTGAAGCTCTGGATTTGAAATGCTACCTTTAGCATACAGTAGACTCACAAATATATATGAGTCTGTTGAGTCTCCTTCTTGACTATTTCATTCCATTGATCCATTTGTATATCCCTGAGCCAGAATCACATGGTTTGAATTAACTGTGCCTTTAGATAATACTTTGATTATTGCTCTCTCCCACAATTACCTTCGCTTATTCTTTTCTTAAAAAAAATTTAAAATTTAAATTCAATCTACTTAACCTCTTCTTTTTCAAAAATATCTTATATCTTTTCATGTATTTCCTGTTCATTAGAATGTGAGCACCAAGGGGTCAAGTTCTTGGAAAGTTAAGTCTTAAATCTTAAGTATTTTATATATTTTACATCTTCCTGTTGCTCAGAGGCATTTTTCCTATTGAAGATATAGAACAGAGGGTGGCTGACTTTTCCTTTAAAGGGCCAGATGGTAAAGAGTTTTGGGCTTTATGGGCCATATGATCTCTGCCACTGCTAACTGGCCATTGCCACTATAGCACAAAAGCAGCCATAGACAATATATAAACAAATGGGCATAAAATTTTATTTACAAAACAGGCAAAAAGTCATTGTCAGATTTGACATGTAAGCCATAATCTGATGACCCCTGATATAGAAAAAGATTAATTTTTACAGTCATCTTGTCTCCAGACATCGGAATGATATTTCCAATACCACATTTTAGTTGAGTCTATTATTTCTATGTGGGAAAATATACAAACAAAAGATCATTCTGTTCTAACTTTCCAATATTTATACCAGTTATTACTTTTTGTAGTTCTTCTGCAGTGGCTATCCAACTCTAGAGCAATCCTATAGTGCTAACAGGAGTTACTGTTTTGCTAATGAGAAGGCTCTATTTTTTTCACCTCCCAAAATGATGTTGCTATTAGTTTATTTAAAAAAAATGTTCTTTATCACGTTCAAATTTCAGATACAGTAGTTACATTAGGTATGTTTTAAGATCCCTTGTAATTCAAATTGTTTCATGATGAGGTTACTCACTGCTTTTTGATTATTATAGTTGTAGACAAAGGGGGTACTCCACTGAGTGCCACTGACCTGTTTCTACTTAATGAATACTTTCCAAATTTTCTGGTTCCATTACTTAATCCTCAAGACAACATATAAGAAAAGTAATTCTTCCCAGGGATTATGAAAAAATAAGTCAGAAATGAAACCATTATGTTTTAGAGTTACTTAAGGCATTTTCATTTAAGATTTTTCAGTAAGAATAAATCACTAAAATGACCTTTGAGTAGTAAATGTAAAGTTAATTGAAAATTCAATAATGTTCTAGATAGATTAGGGGTGAAAAGCCCAGGTAAAAATAAATTACCAAGACTTATATGAGAATAAAACCTACAATGTTTATTTCTGAAAAGCTTTGGCCCAACATGTAAGTCCATCAAGCATATGCAACTTTAAAGATATATATTTAAAGTTGAAAGTTAATAAATGCATATATGCTTTTATTTAAATAGTTTAAAAGTTCATCTAAATAAGCTTTCATATACTCACAAAGGTGTCAGTGGGAGTTTCATATTCATATCCTAGGCTAACATTGATTTATTATTGGTAGGAAAATTAGTATTTCAATTAGTCAATTAGTTTTCAATTTGGAGTTCACTTTCCAAAAATTAAATAAAACAAGTGCAATCAGTATTTCCACATTATCTTATTTAATTTACCTGAAAAGCTAAAAATTAGCCCAGCTATAAAAATATGGCACACATTAAAGAAGAAACATGTTTACCATCAAAATTGTGGCATTTTTCTTTACAAGAACATTTCAAGACCTAGATAATAAAAATGCTTCAGGCAATACATAGTAAGTCTTTTCATTTAAATAACAGCATAGAACCTTCTCAGGAATATTGTTGTACATTATATCTATTATTTTACAGTAACAGAGAGAAAATAAAATTTGGTATACAAATATTAAGGGCCAATCATCAAAATGAAATTAATGTTTAGCATAGACTATTATTTAAATGAACAACATAAATAGAATTATCAATTAGATTTAATATAAAATACATTTCTGGAATAAAATTATTTCTAAAATGAAAATTATCAAGTTTAATTCAACAAATTCAAATATCCATTCAGCCAAGGGAATAAAATAAGCCTCTTAAAAATTCAAGATTTACATTAATATTAGAAATTTTCTCAATATAATACAGAATATTCTGATCTCCACTGAATTACATTGTACAAAGACATGTAGCAAATGCTTTATAGCTTATAATCAGGTATAACTGATCACTAAAATTCCTTGACCAAAATATCACTGTAATTATATGAGGCAAAGTTCTATAATAATATGGATGTAATAACGGCAACATATTTTCAATAAGAGAATATGGAAGTTTTCATTTTCACAACTATGACTTTGGTTTTCCAAAACCTGCCTCTCAAAGCCAACTTCTAAATGTTACAGCAGAGGTGGGGCAGTAATGGAAAAGAATGACTTCATGGAACTCTGAAAAAAAAACTATTATAGATCTTAGTTTGAGAAATATATCTGGTGTAAGAGATACACAGAATTATGTAATGATGCTTATATCAAAGTTTATTGGTTAGATAAAGGGCAAAGAGTAAGAAGCAAGTAAACTATAATAGGTGCTTTTAACAAAGCAGACTGAGTAATATGTCAAGTGTTAGGGTGGGATAGGAAAGAACTCAAGCTGAGCAAAAATCTCCTCTTGGACTTTTCTATATAAACAGCTATTTTAGTTTTGGACTGTTCATCAGTGAGCTCATGTGATGGAGCAGAGGAACTCTGCCCACCCATGAAATACTTCCCAGACCAACAGGTCCTTGTGCAGCTGCTCTAACAAGGCAGCTTGTACTCTGAGGTCCCTGGAACCCCCGTTGCCCCCCCACCCCACCCCAAGAGCATGAAACTATAGGAAAATGGAATTCAATGTGTGTAGAAAGTCAATCCATCCTAATTAGGGAACTGAGTTATTCAAATACCAGCTAAAAGTAGAGACTCTAGCTAAAAAACATGGAGAAGTATCCGTCTTGAAAAGGCCTGTAAGACCTCGTGATGTGATCCTGCATTTATTGGCCCTGTATTTCCCCCAGATTACGGGCTTTATAAGGTCCTGGAAACTCTCAGCTCCCTTTAGCTGCCTGTCCAAATAACATATTAATGAATATAGTTTAAGTCCTTTATTGGGTTCCATAATCCCTGCAGCCAAATAGGCTGCAGTTGTTTTATGCAACTTTTGTTTCACTGGAAAATGTGGGAGGGTATTTTGATATTATCTAAGTAAGATTAATGGATAAACACTGTTCACCCCAAACTAAATGATGCTGCCTTCAGGAAGTTGTCAGAAAGAAAGTCAAATGATACACCAAGAAAGCACATTGTGTGCATCAGCAAAGCCCTTCAGCACAGCTAGAACATGTCCTTTATGAGGCAGCTCCAAGCCACTTGGTAATTTCAAGAGTGAGGCAACAGAAGTCTTTCTTAATCGAAAGTCAGAAGCTTCTGAAGAACTTCAAGCACAACTTTATAACAAAAGAAATACTGCTCCTAAATACATATATATGAAAAACAACAGAATGTTAAGTAGTTGAATACTAATATCCATTTTCAGAAGACATAGCTGTAATTTTCAACCATAAAGGAAAGCTCCTAAAAAGAGCAAATGTTTAACCAAGAACTTATTCATGAAAAAATATATTTTACTTGTGTTTATTTAAATTCAATTTGCCAACATATAGTATAACACCCAGTGCTCATCCCATTAAGTGCCATCTTCAGTGCCCATCACCCAGTTACCCCATCCCCTGACCCACCTCCCCTTCCACAACCCCTTGTTGTTTGTTTCCTCGAGTTAGGAGTCTCTCATGGTTTGTCTCCTTCTCTAATTTTTCCCACTCAGTTCCCCTCCTTTCCCTTATAATCCCTTTCACTATTTCATATACTCCCCGTATGAGTGAAACCATGCGACTGTCCTTCTCCAATTGACTTATTTCACTCAGCATAGTACCCTCCAGTTCCATTAAGAAAAAAATTTTTTTTCTAAATATCAGGAGGAAACTGATTATAATATGGTGCTTGGTCTAGAATGAGTTAACTCAAGGCTTAACTGAACATAGGGGAAACACCCTCAATCTCAACCTCCTTATATTTCCCTGGATAAATTACATTAAAACCTTTTTTTTTTAGGTGTAGCCTCAGGTCTCTCAGGTGACCCAAGTTCAAATAAAATGCTTCTTGTCATTTAACATTGGCCTAAAAAGAGGTCAACCTAAAGATTTAGGAGTTCTTGTTTGTTTTCATTATTCATACTCTCTTGATTCCCCCTCCCAATGATTAATAACTAATCTGTAACATAAATGCTATCTTTTTTATGACAAGCCTATGACTTCTATAATTTAGAGGCTATCAGAAACCTATGAATAACTTTAGATATATTACTTAAATAACATGACATTATGGACAAAGCATTTGGGCACCAGGAAACCTGTTTCCCTCCTGACTCCTCTACATGCTATATGAATAATCCCTCAGAACAGGCTTAATTATTCTGAACATGAAGGTAATATTAGAAAAAAATTAATGTCTACCCCAAACAGTGAGAATTCAATGACATCCTGTAGGTAAAAGAGACTTACAAATTGTAACATGCTATACATGTTAATCTTTATATTCATTAATCTTTTTATTAGAATTTATGTAGTGAGAGCTTACCTTTGTTTGAATCATGCCATAACGCTGTTCTCTCATTTGGGCCACTATATTCCTGATGTTGAACTGCAACAGGATGACAGTGATTTTGTATTATTCACATAGGTGGAAAACACAAACCCACAGACTGCCAAATGAGTACTCCATAATTCTTTCCAGTAAAAGAGATGTCAAGATTTAACCAGAAAGCTCTCATTTTCAGCTATAAGAAAGTGTACTATTTTTAACCTCATCTAATGGATAAGGAAGACTTTAGTTTAAAATGGTTTCCAGGAAAAAGCAGGAAGCAATAATTTATGATGAGAATGCTCTCCAAAAGAAATGACAACAAATTTGCCCCTGTGTCTACTTTTCTGTTCTCCAAAGGGAAAACCTAAAGCAGCACTATAATTCTGGAAAGGGGGCAGCCTGGGTGGCTCAGTGGTTTAGCACCGCCTTTGGCCCAGGGCATGATCCTGGAGACCCAGGATCGAGTCCCAAGTCAGGCTCCCTGCATGGAGTCTGCTTCTTCCTCTACCTGTGTCTCTGCCTCTCTCTGCCTCTCTCTCTCTCTCTCTCCCCCCTCTCTTTCTCTGTGTGTGTCTCTTATGAATAAATAGATTTTTAAAAATCTTAAAAAAAAATCTCGAAAAGTCTGAAGCATAGAATACTTTTTTTCTGGCCACATAGTAATACAGCTATTTCTCATTTGAAGAGCCCTCTCAACTCAAGAGAGACTCCGAGCACTGTTAGCCTAATACCAGACTCTGCAGCTGTGCATGGAGACCAGCTTACCCAGTGAGGTTGCTAAACTGGTGCAGGTGTGCACCAGTTACTATTCCACAGTAATATGAGTCCAGAAACTGGTAGTAAGTGTTTAGAAACTCTATGGTAATCTGACAGTGGCGCAGCATCAAGGAGCATCACCAGTGGAACAGGATAATAGACCAGCTCAGGTGTTGCTGAACTTGCCTGGAGAGTCACAAGTGGTGCAAGCTGAGGACCAGTCATGTTCAGCAAGACCACATCTCTCTTTCCCTGTGCCCCTACCCCTACCTTGCACTTGTGCACTCTTTCTCTCTAAAAAAAGAAAAGAAATTGTAAAAATATTTTCTAGAATGGGTACATACCATTTTATATTCCCATAAGCAACAAATGATTAATTCAGTTTCTTCATCTCTTACCCAGTGTTTGGTGGTATCATTATTTTTTATATTAGTCTTTCTGACAGATGTCTAGTGATATGTCATCATAGTTTTACATAGTTTTAATTTCATTTTCCCAAAAGTTAATGAAGCTGAACATCTTTTCATATGGCAATTTGTCATCTTTTAATCCTCTTTGATGAAATGTCTGTTCGTATCTTTTACCCATTTTCTTCTTTTTTTTTAAGGTGATAGCTGGTCTGGAGTAGAGAGAAGCAAAGGCCTTTAACAAAACTTTTTGGGTACCACTGTAGGCAGAATTTTCCTGGGCTGCCTTGGGTCACTCTACATGTGGCAAATGAGGAAAATGCATCCTTGCTAATACTCATTTATGGCATCTATGTTCCCACCCGTCCCTCTGGTGACTACAGATGAGGGAGAATAGGATGTTGCAGCTTCCATATAAGGCATTTGGGAGGAAAATACTGCAGGTGATTTTTTTTTCTTTTACCCATTTTCTAACTGGGCTGCCTTTTTGTTTTTTGTTCTTTACTACAGAGTTTTGAGGATGCATTCTATTTCTAAATGTAAGACCTTTGTTGGATATGTGATTTTGCAGTTTCTCCAAATCTGCAGTTTGTCTTTTCATTCTCTTCAAAGGTCTTTCACAAAATGAATTATTTTAATTTGCTTTCCCCCTAATATTAATGATGGCAAGAATGTTTGCTTTCACCACCTGTATTTAAACTAATGCTTAAAGTTCTAGGTAGCTTAATAAGGCCAGAAAAAAGAAATAAGAGGCATACATGTTGGAAAGGAAGAGATAAATCTGTCCCTATTTGTAACTAGATTATCTACAGAGAAAATAGCAAGGAATCTAGAAACAGAACAAAGTAGAAACACCCTCCCCCCCAAGAAAACCCTCTTAGAACTAGTGAGTTCAATAAAATCACAGCATACAAGATTAACACAAAACATCATATTTCTATATACTAACAATGAATATGTGGAAGCTGATAGTAAAAACACAATACCATTTACAATTGCTCCAAGAAAATGAAATATAAATATAACAAAACACATATAGAATCTATATGCTAAAAATGACAAAATGCTGATGAAAGAAATCAACGAAGATGTAAATAAATTGAGAGACATACTATGTCCATGGATTGGAAGATTCAACATAGCAAAATGTCAATTCTCCCCAAACTGATCTAAAGATTTGAGCAATTCCTATCAAAATCCCTGTAAGCTTTTTTGTAGCTGTAGACAAGCTAATTCTAACATTTATATGGGAAAACACAGAAACTAAGAGTTAAAACAATTTTGAAAAACAAGAATAAAGGAATTACTCTACCTGATGTTAAGACTGTATACAGGAATCTATGGAGTGGTATTGGCAGGATACCAAGATCAATGGAACAAAATACAGAACCAGAAAATGGCCCATACAAACATACCCAGTGATATTTGACAAAGTGCAAAAGCAATTTGGTGGAGGAAGAACAGCTTTTTCAACAAATGGTGCTAGAAAATTAGACATCTGTAGGCAAAAAATAAAGTAAACCTTGACTTAAACTTCACATCTTATACAAAAATTAACTCAAAATGGATTATGGACTTGAATGTAAAACATAAAACACAGAAAAAATACAGTTAAAACACCATTTTTTCTCCCATACTGTGCTCACAGCCCACTGGTGGAGAGGCTGGGCAATGGTTCAGGGCTGCATGCTCCACTGGCCTGGATAAACTGGGAGAGGCCACAGAAAGTATCGTTTCCTAATGATATGGCAGCTTGACAAATTCAGGGACTGGGTAATGATACTAGCTCATGAAGCAAATAAAAGTATCGAAGTATTTACCACTGCAACTTAATGAATACAGAGATATTGCCAACATTGATTCTTTCTGTATATGTGTTATTTGAACATGATTACTGACTAACTAGCTCCTAACTATGTAGAAATGCAAAGTATTACATTATTAACAAATGTGATTTGGAGCTTGTGTTTTGTGTAGGGATTATGTTCTGGTAGCAGAGCTGCAGTGACAAGAGAGCAGTCTGAGGTATTACACAGATCAAGGAATTTTTGGCAGAAGATAAATCATATGGCTTCATCAAGAGAATCTTGCTACAAAAACAAAAACTAACAAAACACAAAACCTGCCAGGTAAATTTGGTAGTGTGCATAGTGGTGTAGTAAGAATTTTTAATTATATAAAGGCTAATGTGCTAAATTTTGGAATATTCACTTCATTATATGGTAATATGGTAACTGATAATGAACAACTCTTCATGCATGCTAGACTATTAGAGGGGAAAGAATGTTTCAAATACAGAGCAATCTCAGTGTTTCTGCAAGATAATAGCCAGTTTGTTTCCAATATTTTAAGAATTTTTAAGTGGACATGATTAAAAATGAAAATGGCAGATGTGGTTTATGTATACAATGGAATATTACTCAGCCACTAGAAATGACAAATACCCACCATTTGCTTCAACGTGGATGGAACTGGAGGGTATTATGCTGAGTGAAGTAAGTCAACTGGAGAAGGACAAACATTATATGGTCTCATTCATTTGGGGATTATAAATAATAGTGAAAGGGAATAGAAGGGAAGGGAGAAAAATGAGTGGGAAATATCAGAAAGGGAGACAGAACATGAAGACTCCTAACTCTGGGAAATGAACTAGGGGTGGTGGAAGGGGAGGAGGGCGGGGGGTGGGGGTGACTGGGTGGCAGGCACTGAGGGGGGCACTTGACGGGATGAGCACTGGGTGTTATTCTGTATGTTGGCAAATTGAACACCAATAAAAAATAAATTTATTATTTAAAAAATAAAAATAAATAAAATAACATGTAGAAAAAGAAAAAAATGAAAATGGCTATAAAAATAACAATTAGACAAGAAATAAATGGTTACATATTTTTAGCTTTTCATATCCTTTAGAGTTGTAATCTTGCAATGCTGCAGGTCACAACTGTCTGCCTAACATAGCTGGTATGCAGCTTGCTGCAATATACACCTCCTCATGTGAGTTCCACAACACACAAACTGGTCTACACCCTATTTGCTAAGACCAGTCCACTGGTCATGCTCTTGGATATCATAGCAATACAGCAAGCTGCTTTGGAAGTTTCTAAATGCTTACTCTCAAATTCTAGGAACTTATCTTACTGTAGAAAACAAACATCCACAGATTGGTGCTGGTCCAAGACTACACTCTTGAGTAGCTCTGGTGGACAAAATTTCTGAAATGAATAGAAAGGGGCATCAGTAAGGACATTTAACAGTTCAAATGTCTATGGAAAGCCAGTTAGGAAAACAATGGATATATATTCTATTTCTTAATTACTCTGTCAAATCTAAGCATCCTTAATTACCACATGCATCATTATTTTCTGTACCACTAAGAAAAGCTTTGTCAATTAAACTGACAGATGACTTATTATAAAACACATTATAAAACAACAAGGCAATGTTTCTGGCAGCAATGTCCACAATAGCCAAACTGTGGAAGGAGCCTTGGTGTCCATCGAAAGATGAATGGATAAAGAAGATGTGGTTTATGTATACAATGGGATATTACTCAGCCATTAGAAATGACAAATACCCACCATTTGCTTTGACGTGGATAGAACTGAAGGGTATTATGCTGAGTGAAATAAGTCCATTGGAGAAGGACAAACATTATATGGTCTCATTCATTTGGGGAATATAAAAAATAGTGAAAGGGAATAAAGGGGAAAGGAGAGAAAATGAGTGGGAAATATCAGTGAGGGTGACAGAACATGAGAGACTCCAAACTCTGGGAAATGAACAAGGGTGGTGGAAGGGGAGGTGGGTGGGGGTTTGGGGTGACAGGCACTGAGGGGGGCACTTGGCGGGATAAGCACTGGGTGTTATGCTATATGTTGGCAAATTGAACTCCAATAAAAAATATATACAAAAAACAATAAAAAAATAGAACAACAAGGTATAATGAAAAAGAAAACAGTGTTCCTTAGGATCATGAAGTATAATATTTAGAGTTTTTACAAGAAAATAAGGACAAACATAAACCAATTATTTAAGAAATTATGTTGGGGAATATATAAAAGAAAATTATACCAACACATTTTCTGCTAAAAGGATCAAACAATGTTATATATGGGAATGGATAGTATCAGACTTATACTACTTAAATTTTCAGCACACTGGTCTTTTTGTGGGGGTAGGGGGGGCTCTCTAGTTTACATTCATTCTCTGAGTTTGCTTTGGAAAACCATTCCTCTCTCACTCTCAGCCTTGTGCCTGGAGTAGTCCTGACTGGCTTAAATAGACCAGTGTCTCCCACAGTGATTAGTTCAGGGGAAGGGGCTGCAACTCAGAAGCAGTGAAATGCTAGGAGGTATTGAATGCTCAAGCTTCTGACAAAAAGAAATTCCCTCTGTCCTCCAAGGAGTTACTGGGAGAGGCCCTCTTCCCACCTGCCCACATAATATGGCCTGAGGATGGTAAGTTCTAGAACAATTCTGCTGCCATAGGAGAGCCCCTGCCACGGTTAGGGTTTAATTATAGAAGACCCGAGAGAGCAGACATTTAACTGCTGTGACAATAAAGTAACTATGGATTTTGCCTGGCAGGGCAAATACCTGGTAGTCCATTTTCTCAGGCACCTGCTAATAAACAGATGTCTTCCCCTTTGCACTTCCGCAGCACAGGAAAAACAGTTCAGTGAGTCACTGTTCTGGCCACAAATCTCAGCTTACATTCCCTAAGCAGTTTAATCAACAGTAAAGGTAATAGTATAATCAATATCTGTCTAATGCTTGGGTCTATCTCTCTAAAATTGGTTCCAAATTTAGGAGGAAAGCAAAGAATTGTTAATGATGGATGCAAAACGTCATAACAATGTTATTATACTTATTTTACAAATGAGAAAATTGGGTTTCAAAGATGGTGAGCAGTGTGCACAAAGTCACCAAAATTATGAGGCAAAACTGGCAGGCAAAGCTAGGGACCTCTCATTAAAACTCTAAGGCCTACATTTTTTTTTACAAGCTCATGTGCATGCATTTGTATTCATTAAAAACAGGCACACTTCATCAACATTCTTTAACAAGACTTAAAAATCTATCTCTTTGGGTAGAAGGAAGGAAAGGAAATGAACTCGCATTCACTGTGCCTCTACAGTGTTCCCAACACTGTTCCATGCCATTCATTTGCATTCTGTAATCATCACAGCCACCTCCAGGAACCTACAGCACTGAATTTAGAAACAGGTCCCCAAAGTTCACAGGCTTTCTCTTTACTGAGTTCTCCTGAAGGTCAAGTCATGGTCTCCAGGTATTAGAAAGCTGTTACAAGTAGAGTGTTTACTAACAGCATCGGTTATCTGTTTAATTCACACACTTACGGGAAAGTTCTTTTCAATGGCACAGAACACAACATCCACACATAGGAACACTCCCGTCCGGCCCACGCCAGCACTGCAGTGAACAAGGATGGGTCCTGTAAGGTGACTCTTCCGCACGAAACGCACATACTTTATGAAGCCATCTACTGAGGCAGGAGTGCCATGGTCTGGCCAGTTGGTGAACTGCACATGTTTTACAAAGTGACTAGTTCCTGTCTGTTGAGAGAGAAGGGGAGGGAGAGAAGGGGAGAGAGAAAGAGGAAGAGGGAGGGAGGAGGAGGGAGGGGGAAGAGATTTATCAATTTCTTATATTAAAGATTTCAATTCAATTTCTAATATACTACTTATATACATAAATAATAATAATAATAATAATAATAATAATGGTTCTATGGTCATACAACAATGAAAATTACAATAGTAACAGGTAGCATGAATTAAGTGCTCACGGTGTGCCAGTTACCATGTAGAGACATTACATGCATTCTTTCATTTAATCCTCACATCAACTCTGGGAAGTAGGTATTGTTTTATTCCCATCTTACAGATGATTAAGGATTACATGATGAGTAAGGATTAGGGTGATTGGGAGATGTATGCCAGGTCAGAAGGCTCACATGTTTAGAGCTGGGACCATAATGTGGGCCTCCTAAAGGCAAATCTACCATTTTTTTTTTTTTGGACCACGGTACTGCAGAAAAACCAAGAGCCCAAAAACTCAGAGTGAAAGATGGCGTAACATGTCAAGAAAAAACATTCTCCTAGCTTAAGTATTATTATATAAAATTTCATTTGAATAAGTCAGTACTGCCAGGTTGCTTGACCAGCGGGACTGCAACCTCTTCTGGTGATGACAGGGTAGGTAGGTGATGACCAAGTGAGTGAACTGTGACCCTACTCTTGTGCTTAGCCCCCTGAGAGTACAGTCATGAGACTCTCCTCAGTGTTGACAGATAAAGCACTTTGAGTTTACCCATCATACCTTCCAAAGGGACCGTGCTTTCCCAATGTGGAGTGCTCATTTTACTTCACTGGGGACCCTTGTTGGAAAACTCAGGTCGGGTTTCTGACTCTTACCCTGCTTCTCCCTAATGCACCCCTTTTTCCTGAGTTCCAAACAGAAATGAAGTTATCCTAAGTCCCAAATAGAAAACTCAAGTTTGAATCATTGGTACATGAAATTGAGTAATACAAACAATCCTTGCAAATCTTGTGAAGGCCCCAGGTTGAGGGCAGCTCTAACCCTACCACATATTTCAGGGGTTAAATCTCTCCTGACACTGGTAACCACTAAGAATCTGCACAAATGTGGACCTCACCACTTTTCTGACCTAATACCATTTGGACAGAAATGCTGATGCAGATTCTTCAAACATGAAGCTTGTGGGCCTCCGCCCAAAGGCCACCAACCCCTTGCCAAAGCTCCACAGCAAACAGATCATTTGAGTCCTTGCAAACAGATCATTCCTCTGTGCCTCACACTTGCCTATTCTCTCCAAGCAGGCTGTCTTTCTTCTGCCATAACATGTGCCTCATGTGTCAGCTGGAACTTCCTTTCCCACTAGACCCTAAGTACTCTAAGACTTGAGACTGTGTCTGTGTTTTGTCTCCAGCACCCTGCACAGTACCTGGCTAATATAGGAGGGAGTCAACAAGTGTTAGGGGAGTGAGGGCTGAGGCGAGTCTCCAGATGCATGACCAAGTGCAATGCCTAGCACACAGCCAGCAAGCCATTAGTGTGGGCCATCGTTCTTGGTCTCCCTGGTCACCATCTATGTGCCAATCCTCATCCTTTTCAATTCCATCTTTCCCTCCCACCCTATTCCTTTATCTCATCAACTTCTCCCTTTGCACTCAGGTGCCACATTCCCCAGTGAACTCTTTGAAACTCTCATTATTTCCCTAAAGACTTCTTCCACTTCCTTCCTTGCCTCCCAATAGCACCTCACTCTTTACAGCCTCCTTATGGAGGTCATCTATTCTCCCATTCTCCAGGTCTCACGGAGCAGAGAGATTAGGTTGCAAACTCCTTGCTGCCCACTCCTTTTTCCAATCCATCATTTCTTCTGTGTAAAAACCCCCTCTTCCTACAGAGTTTCATATCTTTTAGCTTCAACTTTTCATTGCTATCACCCAGTGGCTTTAGCTTCCTGTGCATCTGCCACATTCACTGAAGGGCCTGACATTCTCTCTCCCACAGACTCTGACATCATCCAGGGCAAATCTGGGGTCTCAATAACCCAATGGATGCTCTAACCTCATAGCATTTGTATTTCTCTCTTGCAGGGGATACTAGTCCTCACAGTGATGGTCATTCCTTGAACTTACCACTACCTATAATGTCTAGTATCAAAAATCTTTTAGTTCTTAAATTCCAACATCACTTTCTGACCAGAAGCTCATGTTCTACCACCCCATCTGTGCTTCACTTCCACTCTAGCAACAATGTGACCAAATGGAGCTCCTCTGTCCTTTATGCCGTCCACTTATTCCTACTTGACTGGCTCCTGGTTCCATCTGTCCTCCTAAAGTTAGACTTCATGGCTGATTATGGGAATAATTCTCCTACCAAATTGTTAACTCTTTTCATCCTTTGAATTTTAGCACACGTAGTGGACAACATCCCACCCTGGGTCAGTACATGAGCCTGTGCTCAGGAGCCCCATAGTTAGGCTGCTGGGAAGAAAATCTTCATGTAGGTACATATTTATTTTATTGCTATAGAAAATTTATGGGTTCCAACTTCAGCATTTCCAGCAATTCTTTTCCCAGTTACTGTTTGGACTCCAATCAACTTCTTTGGTGATGACTCATCAGTCAGGCTTCCTGTTTAACTCCCATTCCTTTTATTCCTGTTGAACACATGTATCACCTGCCTACTAATCAAATCCACTTAGAGTAATGTCACTCATCACCTTCTCCTATAAGCCATTTCTTTTCTATTTTTTGAATCTATTAAAGCTATGAGGGCAGCCCTGGTGGCGCAGCGGTTTAGTGCCGCCTGCAGCCCGGGGTGTGATCCTGGGGACCCGGGATCGGGTCCGTGCATGGGGCCTGCTTCTCCCTCTGCCTGCTTCTTCCTCTGCCTGTGTCTCTGCCTCTCTCTCACTCTCTGTGTCTATCATGAATAAATAAAATAAAATCTTTAAAAAAAAGCTATGAGTTATTCTAGATCAACACTTCCCAACAGAACTTTCTACAATGATGCAAATGTTCTACATCGGTGCTGCCCAATGTGATAGCCACTAGTGAAATGTAACTAAACACTAGAAATGTGGCTACTGCAAGTAAGACACTGAATTTGTTGTTTCATTTAACTTTAAATAATTTAAATTTAAGCTTAAATAGCCACATGTGGCTATTGTATTGGATAGCTTAATTTTGACCACTCCTTCTGGTCACTTATAAGTCACAAGTCATAAAAAAAGTCACAAGTCACACAAATGTCTGCCAACTTTATATAAAAAGATACTAAAGTCTCTGCTTTCCATCTCAATGTCAACTGCCCTGGTTGATCATGGCACCTCCCTATGGAAATTCTTCAATATCTCCCAATTATCTTCATGATAAAGTTTGTGCTCCTTAACCAAAATCCAAGATATTTTACATTTTGATTGGTCTCTGCTTACTTTCTATAGCCTCATATCCCCTCTCATTATTCCCTGACATTAAACTTTTACATTCCTGAAACACTTAACTGCCTATAATTTTCTATCCATATCCCATGGTATTTTGAATTTTGATTACTTGCTTTTTCTTTCCATCTTTCTCATTTGGGTAGTTCTCCACCAAGATGTTCCGTCCTCCAACAAACCTTCCCCCAAACCCTAAGTGAAGCTAAGTACTTCTATTCCAGGCCCTAAAAGCATCCCACATTACCATGGAGCACAGTAACTGGATGTATCAGTAAGCATACCCAAATCTCCACTAGTTGGTAAGGTAGTGAGTGCCTGGCACAGTGGTTAGAAATTTCTTTAAAGTATCTTAAAGACTCAATACATTATCTCTCACAACTCAGCAGAAGCAGCCAAAGGACATCCCAGGATTAGGAAACTTCTAGTACTGATGCTTCCCACCCCAACTCTTCTATTTAGGTTTTTCATTTCTCCAGTCAGAGTTTGGTAAAGCAGAAACAGACACAGTGGTGTCTTAGCTTCTGGTACCAGGGAGAAACAAAAACAAGTTACTCAAAAAGTACCCCCAGTCTATAACACATCCTAATCCTAACTTCTCATCCTGACTTGTGGCTTATCTAATGAAATATATATCTCTTACTGATTTTTTAAAAACTTACAGACTTCCTCACAACTTGAAGTATTCGGATGATGAAATATTGAAGTATCTGGTAGTTCTCCAGGAAGACCTGATAGTTTTTCAATTCCAAAGGCTTCTTCATAGAAATGGGCCAGTAATGGTGGCATTTGATAACTCCACCTTCTATCTCTCTGGTTATCATGACAATAACATTAGAGTTATTCTCTAAAACCATTTGCCAAAAGTCATCTGTGGTACTTGGCAGTGGTCCTTGAGAAGCAATATAAAAATATTCTTCTCCAGAATTGACTATTCTAATATAGCTAGCATTGATGTAGTCCTTGTTTTCTCCAAGAGGAACGCGTGTTGAATCATCTATCATAAAAACAGAAATATCTGGTTGATAAAGGAAAAGTAGGAGAACAATACACCCTGGATTCATGAACATATTCCACACTGGTAAATCCATTTCTCTCTTTGACCAGTTGAGAAGATGGCATAGGAGGAATTATATGAGTCCATGAATTTAAATTCTTCCCTCTTCCAAACCTATTGGCATGACCTACAAAATATACAATGAGGAGTATTATTTGTTTCCATCTTTTTCTACTGATCAGAGAAGGATGCCATCAGTGTCCAGACACTTTGGGAGATTTCTGTTAGGTACGGCACAGGTAGGATTAGGCCAAGGGAGTTACCTACTAGTCTGCAACTGAACACAGCAAAGGAGGAGTCATCTGAGGGAGCAAGTGAATGCTATTCTCCTACAAATGCAGAGAACCTGCAAGCCCAGAGCAGTAGAGACCAGAATAAGAAAAAAATCAACCGTGATAGTTGATCAGACACAACCTCTAGGATTAATGGAATTCTACCAATGCCCAAAATACATGGCAGCCAACTTTTATGTCCATCCTCAGCATTCACTGGGTGAAGCAGCATGCTAATCAAAGCAAAGTTGACAAAATGTTGCTATGGAGGGGATTTGTTCCAAGTAACATGGAAATCACCTAACATGGACTCCTGCAACAAATATGAAAAAGGACGCCTCTTCCAGAGCTGCCATAGCAACTGCGGCTGTTCCTCCTGGGGCCTCACGGGGTAAACAACCCCCTCTGAGCCCTGCACCAGGCAGGGGCAGAGCAGCTCCCCCAAGTGCTAACACCTGAAAATCAGCACAGCAGGTCCCTCCCCCAGAAGACCAGCTAGACGGACCAGTTCCAGGGGAAATCAAGGGACTTAAAGTCTACAGATTCAGAAGACACTCCCCCGTGTTTTTTTGTTTTTTTTTTCTTTTTTCTTTTCTTTTTGATTTCTGATTGCTTCCCCCGCCCCCTCTTTTTTTTCACCTTTCTTTTTATTTCTCTTTTTCTTCTATTTTTTCCTTTTTCTTCTTTTTCTTTTTACTTTTTCTCTTTTCTTTCCTTCTCTCTCTTTCTCTCCTTTTCCCAATACAACTTGTTTTTGGCCACTCTGCACTGAACAAAATGACTGGAAGGAAAACCTCACCTCAAAAGAAAGAATCAGAAACAGCCCTCTCTCCCATAGAGTTACAAAATCTGGATTACAATTCAATGTCAGAAAGCCAATTCAGAAGCACTATTATACAGCTACTGGTGGCTCTAGAAAAAAGCATTAAGGACTCACGAGACTTCATGACTGCAGAATTTAGATCCAATCAGGCAGAAATTAAAAATCAATTGAATGAGATGCAATCCAAACTAGAAGTCCTAACGACGAGGGTTAACGAGGTGGAAGAACGAGTGAGTGACATAGAAGACAAGTTGATGGCAAAGAGGGAAATTGAGGAAAAAAGAGACAGACAATTAAAAGACCATGAAGACAGATTAAGGGAAATAAATGACAGCCTAAGGAAGAAAAATCTATGTTTAATTGGGGTTCCCAAGGGCGCCGAAAGGGACAGAGGGCCAGAATATGTATTTGAACAAATCCTAGCTGAAAACTTTCCCAATATGGGAAGGGAAACAGGCATTCAGATCCAGGAGATAGAGAGATTCCCCCCCAAAAATCAATAAAAACCGTTCAACACCTCGACATTTAATAGTGAAGCTTGCAAATTCCAAAGATAAAGAGAAGATCCTTAAACCAGCAAGAGACAAGAAATCCCTGACTTTCATGGGGAGGAATATTAGGGTAACAGCAGACCTCTCCACAGAGACGTGGCAGGCCAGAAAGGGCTGGCAGGATATATTCAGGGTCCTAAATGAGAAGAACATGAAACCAAGAATACTTTATCCAGCAAGGCTCTCATTCAAAATGGAAGGAGAGATAAAGAGCTTCCAAGACAGGCAGGAACTGAAAGAATATGTGACCTCCAAACCAGCTCTGCAAGAAATTTTAAGGGGGACTCTTAAAATTCCCCTTTAAGAAGAAGTTCAGTGGAACAATCCACAAAAACAAGGACTAAATAGATATCATGACGACACTAAACTCATATCTGTCAATAGTAACTCTGAACGTGAACGGGCTTAATGACCCCATCAAAAGGCGCAGGGTTTCAGACTGGATAAAAAAAGCAGGACCCATCTATTTGCTGTCTACAAGAGACTCATTTTAGACAGAAGGACACCTACAACCTGAAAATAAAAGGTTGGAGAACCATTTACCATTCAAATGGTTCTCAAAAGAAAGCAGGGGTAGCCATCCTTATATCAGATAAACTAAAATTTACCCCGAAGACAGTAGTGAGAGACGAAGAGGGACACTATATCATACTTACAGGATCTATCCAGCAAGAGGACTTAACAATCCTCAATATATATGCCCCGAATGTGGGAACTGCCAAATACTTAAACGAATTATTAACCAAAGTGAAGAGATACTTAGATAATAATACACATATACTTGGTGACTTCAATCTAGCTCTCTCTACCCTCAATAGGTCTTCTAAGCACAACATCTCCAAAGAAATGAGAGCTTTAAATGATACACTAGACCAGATAGATTTCACAGATATCTACAGAACTTTACATCCAAACTCAACTGAATACACATTCTTCTCAAGTGCATATGGAACTTTCTCCAGAATAGACGACATACTGGGTCACAAATCGGGTCTGAACCGATACCAAAAGATTGGGATCGTCCCCTGCATATTCTCAGACCATAACGCCTTGAAATTAGAACTCAATCACAAGAAGAAGTTTGGAAGGACATCAAACACGTGGAGGTTAAGGACCATCCTGCTAAAAGATAAAAGGGTCAACCAGGAAATTAAGGAAGAATTAAAAAGATTCATGGAAACTAATGAGAATGAAGATACAACCGTTCAAAATCCTTGGGATGCAGCAAAAGCAGTCCTGAGGGGGAAATACATCGCAATACAAGCATCCATTCAAAAACTGGAAAGAACTCAAATACAAAATCTAACCTTACACATAAAGGAGCTAGAGAAAAAACAGCAAATGAACCCGACGCCCAGCAGAAGAAGAGATTAATTAAAATTCGAGCAGAACTCAATGAAATTGAGACCAGAAGAACTGTGGAACAGATCAATAGAACCAGGAGTTGGTTCTTTGAAAGAATTGATATGATAGATAAACCATTAGCCAGCCTTATTAAAAAGAAGAGAGAGAAGACTCAAATTAATAAAATCATGAATGAGAAAGGAGAGATCACTACCAACACCAAGGAAATACAAACGATTTTAAAAACATATTATGAACAGCTCTACGCCAATAAATTAGGCAATCTAGAAGAAATGGACGCGTTCCTGGAAAGCCACAAACTATCAAAACTGGAGCAGGAAGAAATAGAAAACCTGAACAGGCCAAGAACCAGGGAGGAAATTGAAGCAGTCATCAAAAACCTCCCAAGACACAAGAGTCCAGGGCCAGATGGCTTCCCAGGGGAATTCTATCAAACATTTAAAGAAGAAATCATACCTATTCTACTAAAGCTGTTTGGAAAGATAAAAAGAGATGGAGTACTTCCAAATTCGTTCTATGAGGCCAGCATCACCTTAATTCCAAAACCAGACAAAGACCCCACCAAAAAGGAGAATTACAGACCAATATCCCTGATGAACATGGATGCAAAAATTCTCAACAAGATACTAGCCAATAGGATCCAACAACACATTAAGAAAACTATTCACCATGACCAAGTAGGATTTATCCCCGGGACACAAGGCTGGTTCAACACTCGTAAAACAATCAATGTGATTCATCATATCAGCAAGAGAAAAACCAAGAACCATATGATCCTCTCATTAGATGCAGAGAAAGCATTTGACAAAATACAGCATCCATTCCTGATCAAAACTCTTCAGAGTGTAGGGATAGAGGGAACTTTCCTCGACATCTTAAAAGCCATCTACGAAAAGCCCACAGCAAATATCATTCTCAATGGGGAAGCACTGGGAGCCTTTCCCCTAAGATCAGGAACAAGACAGGGATGTCCACTCTCACCACTGCTATTCAACAAAGTATTGGAAGTCCTAGCCTCAGCAATCAGATAACAAAAAACATTAAAGGCATTCAAATTGGCAAAGAAGAAGTCAAACTCTCCCTCTTCGCCGATGACATGATACTCTACATAGAAAACCCAAAAGCCTCCACCCCAAGATTGCTAGAACTCATACAGCAATTTGGTAGCGTGGTAGGATACAAAATCAATGGCCAGAAATCAATGGCATTCCTATACACTAACAACGAGACTGAAGAAAGAGAAATTAAGGAGTCAATCCCATTTACAATTGCACCCAAAAGCATAAGATACCTAGGAATAAACCTAACCAAAGAGGTAAAGGATCTATACCCTAAAAACTACAGAACACTTCTGAAAGAAATTGGGGAAGACACAAAGAGATGGAAAAATATTCCATGCTCATGGATTGGCAGAATTAATATTGTGAAAATGTCAATGTTACCCAGGGCAATTTACACGTTTAATGCAATCCCTATCAAAATACCATGGACTTTCTTCAGAGACTTAGAACAAATTATTTTAAGATTTGTGTGGAATCAGAAAAGACCCCAAATATCCAGGGGAATTTTTAAAAAGAGAACCATAGCTGGGGGCATCACAATGCCAGATTTCAGGTTGTACTACAAAGCTGTGGTCATCAAGACAGTGTGGTACTGGCACAAAAACAGACACATAGATCAATGGAACAGAATAGAGATCCCAGAAATGGACCCTGAACTTTATGGTCAACTAATATTCGACAAAGGAGGAAAGACGATCCACTGGAAGAAAGACAGTCTCTTCAATAAATGGTGCTGGGAAAATTGGTCATCCACATGCAGAAGAATGAAACTAGACCACTCTGTTGCACCATACACAAAGATAAACTCAAAATGGATGAAAGATCTAAATGTGAGACAAGATTCCATCAAAATCCTAGAGGAGAACACAGGCAAC